GCATGATACAGGCACAGTTCAGATAATCAAAACTGTATTACTTCATAGATTTTTACCAAGTGTCTTTTAAAAAATTCTAGCTTCAGGGTACATTCGTCTGTTCCGGAATAAGTTACAATAGCTACAAATACGTTTTCAATTGTCACTACAAAAAAACAGCAAGTTTACAATGTTGTCTCCCCTTAGTACAAGTAAATATAATCTAATTTGAAAAAATCATTTTGATCATTCAACCTGTTTTAAGTTAAAGCTAACTAAGCCTGTCCCAAGTCAGGAGCCTGCAGTTCAGTTAACGTTGTTGTCGTTTGTTCAAGTCTGTCATATTTGTTTTTCGTAAAATGTTTTGTTATGAATTAGGCCGTTTAGCTTTTCAATTGAATTGTTTCATATTTTTCATGTCAGGGCCTTTTATAGCCGACTATACGGTATGGGTTTTTTCACTGTTGAAGGCCGTACGGTTGCCTATAATTGCTTACATCCACTTCATTTGAACTTTGGCGAATAGTTGTCTCGTTGGCAATCAAACCACATCTTCTTATTTTTATAACTAAGTTTAACGATCAAATACAACAAAATGATACTTTTTCACCCAATAATGTAAATAAAAAGGGATTTCCTTTCATGGTTATTTTTAGTCGGGGAATAACCCCTTGTCTTTTATACGGAACTGTTTATAGCACACTATATCAACAACCAAGAAGTATTTATGTGTTGTAGTAGGCGATGATCATACTGTTGCAGCTCCTTCTATGACTGATGACTAAGATATTTAATGGATATCTTTGATGAGTTTTAGATGTTATCTCAAAATGTGATAAATCATGGGCTGTCCAATTTAACTCTTTGTAAACAAAAATTATTGTATGTATTAGAAAGGAATGAGAGTTTCCGCTAGTATTTTTGGAATCAATGGTGAAGAGAATGATGAAATAGATAATCTTTTTTATCTTGAGATAACGTTTTAGTCATTAGCTTCATGGAACAAACAAATTGATGATATAAATATTTAAAAAAAAACACTTATTAAACAGGTATTCGCTTAAACGTTTCTTTATATTTGCGTGCCAAGTGGAAAGTTAGGGAACATGGCTATCAATTTATATTATAATACATTTCTACAGATTCATCGTTGATTCACTTTTGCAAATTTTACGAAAACTATGGTTGCAAATTGCTGAGTAAAGCTGACCTTAGATCATTATAGGTTTGTGTTTTATGCCCCTTTTGCTAATAAATCACCCTATAATGTAGTAAAATCTCTCTTACATCAGTGTATTTTTAGCAAATATAAAAAAGAAATGTCTTTTATCCTCAACAAGGAGGTCATAGTTAAAACAAATAGTATCCTCTGATAAAAATTGGTTAAACAAGTGAAGGCAAAAAGTAATATCTTCATTTCTCAAAGTTAAAGGAGTTTGTCTGGGTAAATATGGCTAATATAAGTATGTAAATGTCATCCAATTTAATATATTATGCAACAGGATAAGCTTATGTCTATATGTCTATCTCGTTCTTCTCAAGACGTATGCCCATAATTCAATGTAAAGTTTATGTCTTCAGAAATGACGTCGTAGTCCAGACATAGATCTAACAATCTTCTATTTAATTATTTTCAAGAAGCACGGACTCATTTTGAGTTCACTTGTCATACTCTATTATTGATATACTAAAAGCATAGTAAAAGATTTTTATAATATCTTGAACTTTTTTGAGATGCTTACAGACCATTTTGTGAGAACAATATTCCAGAAACTACAAATTTAGAGTCAAGAACAGTAATTTCGCTAATCTGATAAACCCATGCATTTTATCGTCTAAGTGTGAAATTCTAGTATTCAAGTCGTATTTCTCAAATTAATGTCTGATTTGACGTCACAGATATTCGACATCAATGTCTAAATATGCCTTTTCTACACTTAAAAAAAATCACATATTGACAAATAAATGATATCGAATTATATATTTAAAGTAGATTATATCAATCCACATATTCATAAAAAATATAATTATTTCACATTTGATAAATCCTCAGTGATAATTATCACATAATTGATTTATTTTTCTTTTGAATATTGATGTCATGTTCGCCCCAGAAAGTGTAGATTTTCACATCATATAGCATTCGAAAATTAGAATTTGAGATTACATTATAATAGAGTGTGTTAATTTACCGGTAGGGCACACCATAGACGCACAAATTTTGACTTAATCATTATTATATATATCGTTGAAAACAATTATAATTTTGAAAATTACTTTATTTTACATTTGATAAATACTACATTCTCAGTAGTATTTCTCAAATTGATGTCTTCTTTGACAACACCATAATTCTACAACAATGTCTAAATGTGCATTTTTTTCACTCAAGAAAAGTTAATTTTAACAAAATAAATGATATCGAATTATGTCTTGTGAGGTATTAAAAGTAGATGATATCAATTCAAATATTTCATCATACAATGGACGTACTTTATTTCTGTTGAAAATAAAATTTGTATACTTCTCATCAGTACAAAATGTTGTTTATTTTTATGTATGTATCATATTTACTAATTATTGTAGAAATATAAAACAAAAAATGTGGAAGATACCAAGGAGACAATAAAACTCCGAACTTAAATAAGTACAAACAAAACCATAAGGTAAGAAAAAAAGACGGAGAGACAAAGATACAGTCCACATAACACTACACATAAAACTAAAGCAGCACGAACCTCGCTAAAAACTGTGAATGAATTAGCTTCTTTGGAATTACATTAACGGTACCAATTTTTTTGCACCAGATGTGCATTTGGACAATAGATGTCTCTTCAGTGATGCTCGAGGTCAAAATATTTGAAAATCCAAAGCTTATTACAAATATGAAGAGCTTAAAAACGGAAAAGGACTAAAAAGTATAGCCAAAATCAGGCAATAAATCAGAGCTTTGCATGAGGGAGATATATTCCTTAATTTAAGATAATTTCAAAATTTTGTAACAGCAAATTTTAGTAATACAAAATCCGTATTTTAGGTACTGGCTACTGGGCTGGTGATACCCTCGGAGACTAACAGTCCACCAGCAGAGGTATCGACCCAGTGATAGTTATTACATAAATGGTACCCATTTTTCTGCACTAGATTCGCATTTCGACAATAAATATCATGTTATTTGGTGAAAAGTCTTTATACCACAGCAGATTGGTATTATTTTTTTTTTCTTGTCTAGCTTCAATCAGAAACCACAAGTAGATGTAAATTTCAAAATAGCTTCTCAGATCAAAGACTGACATATGGGGGAAAACTGACAAAGAGAATATGATTTATTTCAGCACTGAAAACAAAAGCAAAAGCAACAACTTCCCGAGTTCATAAACATTGCGTGAAAATATACTTGTTTTCATTAGTACATGTATTTTGTCTACATTGATGCTCGAAGTATTCAATCATATTTAACAGTTGAATTCAAGTAATCATGTAATGTATTCTTCTTCTTTTTTTCAGAACCTACTAACTTTATAATTACCTTTGAGAAACATATAATTATTTTACATTTGATGAATCCTCAGAAATATTTATCAGCAAATTGATTTATATTTCATTCGGTATATTAATGTCATATTCGCCAAGTGCAGATTGCCATAGATCACATCACTGAAGCGCACATTTGACTTATTGATTGTTATATCATCGTTGAAAACAAATATAATTTTGGACATGATTTTAATTTACATTTGATAAATTCTCAGTTAGTAATAATTTTGTAATTTACAACACCTAGTGTTCTGTTTTTTCTAAACAATTTTGACACTATTGTAATGTGACATATACTTCCTACATATATTTACAGACATTTGACCTTCTAAATTATAAACTGTTTGCATTCCTGGTAGCGACAAATCAAGAACAGCAACTAAAAAAAACCGGTACGTTTATATAAATAAGAAGATGTGGTATGAGTGCCAATGAGACAACTCTCCATCCAAGTCACAATGTATAAAAAGTTAACAATTATAGGTCAAAGTACGGCTTTCAACACGGAGCCTTCAAAAGTTGGTTCACACCGAACAGCAAGCTATAAAGGGCCCCAAAATGACTAGTATAAAACAATTCAAACAGGAAAACCAACGGTCTAATCTATATAAGAAATGAGAAACAAGGAACATCTATAAACCACACCCTTGGTTTACCCTTGATTTACCCTTGATTTACCCTTGGTTTACCCTTGATTTATCCTTGGTTTACCCTTGGTTTACCCTTGGTTTACCCTTGATTTACCCTTGGTTTATCCTTGGTTTACCCTTGATTCAGAGAGTAGATACCAAGGGGGATCGAAAATCATTATTCAAATGTAAATCCCACTATGTCCAAAAATAAAATGACGTAAAGACAGAAAACAATAACAAACATTTCAAAGAAAAATGATTATTGAGCAAAACGAAACACCGAGGGTAAATTCGGATACTTCGCAAGGGTAGGCAACTTATGTTCCAACTGTGGCACCCGTCGTGTTTCTAATCCAAATTCATAACCGGTGATAGCTTTAACTTGTTTATGCTATTGGTATATCCCTTTACATACACATATACATTCACTTTTCTTCGAAATATTTACTGAAATTATGTTTCAAACTTGATGAAATGCCATGTTCATTTCTCGTTGTTTAAAAATAAATTTTAACTTATTCAGTATTAAATGTAGACTAATCTAGGTGCACTTCCAAACACGATAATATTAATCCAAATGTTTGCTTAAATTTTCGTGTTTTTTTTTTTTAATAGTGTCTCAAATTCTCTCATTTGATCTGTTGTCATAGACTTCACAAATCGAACAAACAGCTAACCTATCATGCAACTCATGCAACACATGTGTTGCATAATATTTGATTCCATTTCATTTAATGTTTTATTTTCTAGAAACAGCTGCTAACATTATTCTCTTTTTTATTTTATTTTGATGAATAAACAAAGGAAGATAACTCTACTTAATCAATAAGAATTTCTTTGAAAGTTTATGTGAAAGTTGAACATATTTTGGAAGATGTAACTATGAAACCGACATCTAACTAAACATACAAGGTTTAAAAGTATGTATGTTATAGGTTATTGTTCCAGTACATGTAAAATTTTACCGTGTAAGTGACCATTTATCTGCATTACTGAACAAGATTAAAGAGCATGTTAACAGTACTTATATATGTATATCACGGTATAAGACGAAGGGTCACTTTATTTCAGTGCAAATATCATTTTATCATGTTAGTGGTCTTTTTTTTTCAGTACCTGCATTATTGTACCTGCTTAATTAAATACGTTATAAATTCGTTCGACCGAAGCGCTTTTCTGGATTTACCTTCATCAGGAACGCTCAAACCTAAACATTGTAAAGCCAGTGATGTGTAAACACACTCAAACCTAAACATTGTAAAGCCAGTGATGTGTAAACACACTCAAACCTTAACATTGTAAAGCCAGTGATGTGTAAATACGCTCAAACCTAAACATTGTAAAGCCAGTGATGTGTAAACACACTCAAACCTAAACATTGTAAAGCCAGTGATGTGTAAACACACTCAAACCCAAACATTGTAAAGCCAGTGATGTGTAAACACACTCAAACCTAAACATTGTAAAGCCAGTGATGTGTAAACACACTCAAACCTAAACATTGTAAAGCCAGTGATGTGTAAACACACTTAAACCTAAACATTGTAAAGCCAATGACGTGTAAATACACTCAAACCTAAACATTGTAAAGCCAGTGATGTGTAAATACACTCAAACTTAACATTGTAAAGCCAGTGATGTGTAAACACACTCAAACCTAAACATTGTAAAGCCAGTGATGTGTAAATACACTCAAACCCAAACATTGTAAAGCCAGTGATGTGTTAACACACTCAAACCTAAACATTGTAAAGCCAGTGATGTGTAAACACACTCAAACCTAAACATTGTAAAGCCAGTGATGTGTAAACACACTCAAACCTAAACATTGTAAAGCCAGTGATGTGTAAATACGCTGCAATGTTAGGAGCTGTATGACCAAAAAGGACCTTAACAGAATAGCCAATGTACTTCATGTCAAATTTGCCTGAGGGAGTTTGAACTTTAATTTCTTTATAATTTCTTGATTTACGAACTGGAAATTTTGAATAAGAAAAAGTACCGAAGCACTGACTACTGAGCTGGTGATACCTTCGGGGTCTAACAATCCACAAGAAAAAGTAACGACCCAGTGCTATTAAATGTAATAAACACTTCACATAAATTTTGTTCGTCCAAAGTGCTTTTCTTGAATTACCTTCATCAGGAACGCTTAAACCAAAACATTTGAAAGCCAGGTTTTCGTAAAATGCTGCAACCTAAGGTGCTGTATGACAATTAACAGACTAGAAAAATTCATCTTTGTGCGTCTGAGGGAGTTAGAACCTTACTCTTTTAATATTTTTTTATAATTTATAAAGGAATTTCAAATAAGCTCTGTACATTTTTACTGATCTAAACTTCTTTTTGTATCTCGGTCGTTTTTCTAACATCGTTTATTTTATTTCAAATATTGAACGAGAATAGAGTCTTATAATTTTGAACTATATTTTCCTGTTTGAATGGTTTTACACTAGTCATTTATGAGGCCCTTTATAGCTTGCTGTTCGGTGTGAGCCAAGACTCCGTGTTGAAGGCCGTACTTTGACCTATAATGGTTTACTTTTACAAACTATGACTTGGATGGAGAGTTGTCTCATTGGCACTCATACCACATCTTTTTATATCTATATAGGAACGATAATGTTACTCTTTAACAAATCAATGCAACGAAAACCGTGATTCTAGATTTCTTTCGAGTCCTTGTTGAGATTATGCATGATGCCTTATTGATAAGGTTCCTTGACCAAGTTAACTCTTCAACCATATAACCTTGTTCAATCATATCTTTGGAGTAATTATTACTAACTTACGCAATACTTTTATCTGGTTTTAAAACCCCTTTTAAATTATGCGTGATGTATTGAAAAATTTGATTTGAGTCGTTTTCAAGTATCAAAACGGGCATTGTATATACACGTAAAAAAAGTGGGCGAAATGTTTAACGTCACAAGTACATATACAATACGCTGTTCGATGTGTACTTATTTAAACTGGAACACGTTCCTAGGTACTCTGATCTGTATCTGATAAGATATGTCACCTTAATAGAAGCCATGAAGTTCTCAGTTTGTCTCCAGGTCAGTAATAACACTTTCCCTTTTATGTGAATATCGGAGAAAAAGATATGCGAAATATCCTAAATTTTAACCTTTTCTCTATCATTGTTTTATTTTAATCAATATGTGAATACTGTCAGATAATTATGTCATCTCTGCCGATGTTACTTTTATGATTTGTCTTAACTCTGGGTAATTTGATGTTTGTTATACAATACGGGAACTTTTCCATTGTTGAAGATCGCGTAAAGTATATTTTGGTTAACGTGTGTTGTTGGGATGCTGTTTACCTCACATCTGTTTTAATCTTCGTAAATATCAATAATCTCACAGACCACTAAGTTCAATAATGACATCATGAAAAGATCAGTATAAGCATTTAAATGACAAACAATAAACCCACGTACACTTTTATGGAAGATCTCAGTTGCTTTTAACACTTTTTGCGAGAATAATCTGGAGGAGTCAACACGTCAATAGTATATCAATTAATATTAACTTCAAACATACAAATAACTACAATATTTACGAATATTTTAAAGCACATTTATAGATAAGTATAAGTTTCAATGTACGCACAGAACAAACTGTTCAGAGTAATATAGTTCTGGTTAGAGTTTCCAATAATATTCTCCAACTGATTGGTATAGAGTTCTATCCTGATAAGGGACTTAGCTCCGCAATATAAACAGGAGTTTCTTTATTCAATAGTTTCTAGAACGCAATTATCAAATGTTTCTTATGTAATATATTTATGCTAAGATTGTAGTTTTTAAATGGTTAGAAATCCTCTCTAGGGTACACTTACTTTGGAAAAGGAAACGAAATATCGCTACAATCTGATAAAGTATTAAACTGATTTGGAATTTTCTGCGTCCCAAAAAAATGGGGGCAGCAGATATCAAATGGAGAATCAAAACACGTGAGTCGAATTGATACCGCTAACATCATGACAAAAAAGATGAAAAGACAAACAACAGTCTACAAAACACCATACAAAAAAACTTAAGACAGAGCAACACGAATTGATATATGTATTATATTGAAATTTCTTTCGTTTTGTATTTTTATTTAGGTTTTGGCTGTTTGTTTCCTTCTTGAAACTGAATATTCCTTTGCCCGTGAATGTCTTTGTGTTCATAAGGGAACAGTCCTTCCTGTAGACCAGCATATTAATGTAACAGAACTACCTGGAGGGACATGTGTAGAAATCTTGAGGGAACATGTCCATTTCAAGAATGCAAACTGGACACATATAATGTATCAAGGTCATGTAAGTTATTGCTATAAAATGTTTGTTTTATAAAGAAATCTAAAGACAACCGTTACTGCAATTTCAAATGTGTTAATCTTTTATGGTTTTCCGAACGTATCTTAAAAGAAAATGAATATGCTATACTCTTACATTTTTCTTTAATTTTCCGGAAAGATAATTATTTATTATATATACAAATCCCAATTTAGTTTAAAAAGGGTTTAAAAGTACTTTTTTCTAGAAATATAAATTCCAATTTTTAACATGTAAACATATAATTTGAAGACAACTACCATTCTCTGGTGAATAAGGCAATTATTTTAACTCACATCTTAAATGATCTTAAATGTATTGTTAACAAAAAATATCCGAAAAAATTAAAAATAGACATCAAATATCAGCCTAACTTGTCTCTTGTCATATAAGACACCATCAAATCACCGCACATCTAAAACAAATCTTCATTGAACAGCAGTATCTTTCATTTTAAGATTATAAGCATCTATAAATATCCGTTTGATTATTTGCTTACCATTCAGATAAGAGTTTAATAAAAACATCTTAATTAACTGGGAGTGGGAGAGACATCAACTTTGGGAGATAAATAGATTTCGTACATTAATTTTCATTTCCGTTTCACTGCTCTAGCTTATGAAATGCTAAACTCAAACATGTTGTCAGGAAGGCCAACATTTATATATGATTTATTATTACAGCATGCATTTGTAGAAAAAGTTACAACAGCGTTCGATAAAGTTAAATGTGATGGTGAGTTGTACCTGTAAACTTTGTAAGGTGACTTTAGCTCTTGCTAGAATATTCGGATATAACGAAGCAGATCTGAGGTCAGAGATTACCCTCCTAACAAAAATAGTGTTGTAGGTAAATATACTGCCGCCTTTCTTTTGCCTTCTGTTATTTTTTCTAATTATAATTATAACAGAATTTCAAGATCCAACTTTTATTAATGTATCATTCTTCTAGCAGTGTAAACTTACAACTGCTGGTGAGTTATTAAACCCCAAGGTACCAAGGTATCATCAACAATGTAGTCAGTGCTTCGGTACGTACATGATTTAAAACATTTTTTTCTAAAATTTCACGTTCATAAATTAAAATATTACTTAGAACCAAGATTCTGACTCCCTCAGTCAAGTTGACTCTAAATGAATTTGACTATTCTTCAAGTCTATTTTGGTCATATATATCATCTACTTATTTATACAGATCTTGCTTTCAAATGTTAGGGTTTGAGCATTACTGATGAAGGAAAATCCAGAATATTACGAAGTTTCTCATGTTTCTCAAGGGCTATTGTTATTCATTTCCACACGTTTGGCTTAATGTAAAATAATTACAATTTTCACTCCAGGTTGACAGCTATTTTTATGTGTACCTACAGTTGGTTTGTAACATAATTGTCCATTTTGTGACAGTGATATTGGAATTTCAGTTTTCCAGTTGAGTTCTGCAATTCGTATTTTTCTAGACAAAATATACCTTATTTCGTGCTCCTATAGATTTCTATAACATTAATCATCTTGATCTTTCTCATTTATGAAAAGTCATGGTGACAAATTTGACTAACAACTCCGTTCCAAGCAAAGTTTTGTTCACGCCTTTTATCAAATGACATAAAGGTCCTTTTTCGTATACTAGGTTCCTGTAGCAAAGATGTTAAAGGTTAAACAATCATAGATACAGGTTTTATTGTAGCAAAATAATAGCCTGTTGAAGTAAAACTACTCTGCCAATAGTTCTATTGATTACAAAATAAAATTAAATTGTGGTTGTTTTAGATAAAAATGTTCCAATCACAACAACGATTGCATCAACAACAAGACAAACAACACTGTCACAATCAACAACTCAACCCTCAACGCCAGTGCACCATACAACGGCAATACCTGTAACGGCAACACTTCAGCACGGCACAACAGGACCACCAGCTCCCTATTGCCCTCCTACTACTGGAAAACCGTCGCATAATAATGTAAATTGTACTGGTGTTAGATTTTTAACAAGGAGTAATTGGGGAGCCTCTTCGCAGTATGAAAGAATAAACGACTTAACCAGACAGTTCTCATGTAGTGTAGATTTTGTTGTAGTTCATCACACTTTAGGGGATCGATGTGTAACCCTAGCTGATTGTGAACAAAGGATTAGAACAGATATTCAAAACTGGAAACATAGTAAGTATTGCTGTTATATGTAGTTACTAACATCTTGCATAATTTTAATATTTCATGTGGTTATGCACTACGTTTGGGATATTATACATTAATCTTTTATCACAACGCCGAAATTTCATGGCGAACATACTATTGGTAACATGTATAAAGTGACTTACAGGGCTCTGCGAGGATACTTTGTTTTATGAAAAAACTTAGTGGTGGAGATACTCTGAAATGTTGTTTTTAACGCATGTTTTGTTTTATTCTTGCTGACAAATAATTGTCGAATTTAACTCCATGCAGCGATCAATTCTTTGAAGCATTTTGTATTTGAACTTTTCATTACATTTTTTGTTTTATTTGCAAATACTGAACCCAAATGTTTTCAATTCATATTTCTCATATTCAAAAAGAGAAAATACAATTTGGGGCGAAATTGGTCCTAAAATGAAATGTATTTCAAACTGTCTATACTTTATATAATCAAATGTTTAATCTACTTAATTTTATATAAACATTTTGGTTTTATATATCATTTTCGCGGGTTATATTTTCATAAAAATCAATGAAATTCATTAAAACTACAAAACATCTAAAACCAAGACTCGCACATTATTAGAAATGAAATAGAGCACAATCGTCACCCAAATAAAATTCACACAGGAATCGTCATTCGTTGTCATGTATTAATTGGTAAAAACTATTTGGATCGACACCTGTATTTTATGCTATATAACAGTCAGGATTCTACTTCGTCAAAATTATCTCCCCATTACGCCAGTTCATTTTTATAATTGTAAAAAGGGAAGCCATTGTAGGGATGACGCGCTGCCAATTTAGCTCTTGAAAACCGATAAATTTATCCACATAGCACCATTACGATCCTTATATGCCAGTTGCATTTTAAAAGACAAATGTATACACTAGCTAATGAGCATCAGTTAATGTACTTGTCGGCATGCAGTCAACTTAAAACTATTATCTGATCGGTTGTCAGGTGGAATTTTCGAAAATTTATAAACATTTAAAAAAAATTCTAATTAAATATTTCGTGGAAGGGCAGACTAAAAATTTTCAGTGGTTGAAGACTATAAACCCTTATTATCACACACAAAAAATTAAGTTTCTTCGAAGATATGCATTTTTAAGATCCAACTTAAAAGTCTGTCGTCAAATACTTTAAGTAAAAATTTGCTATTCGAACACACCTACTCTGTTTTTATGATTCATCAGAAAGGTATTTGCTTGACCCATATATTGCATTTTTTAGTACTGTGAATTTTTGATGTTATAAAGTCAACCTGTAGCCTTGATATATAAAAATGATAGAATCTGAAGCGATATGATGTATCAAATACTCTTGCTTTATACGTTTTCAAGACAAAATATACAACTCAAACACGCCCTAACATTATAAGGTGCACTCAATTTTCTCTTTTCGATGCAAGTGTTACCCATTTTTTGGAATTTTTTCTTGAGTCACATAATGGAAGGGCAGAAACGAAAATTAAGGAACAAATAGATTGATATGTTCTACGTCCGTGATAAATTTTTTTAAGAATCGGAGGTTATGCATTTTTTAGATCCAACTGAATAGACACCCATGTCGTCGACTTGATATCTAATTGTTCTGCTTAATTATGTAATAGATAAATTGAAAACTTTTGCAGATGGTGTTTTATGATAAAATACTTCGTAATTTAGTCGAAAACTGTCATTTTAGTTGTTTCTATTAACTTTTAAATTTTTTGTTACTATAGCAAACATTACAGTAAGCATTTATCGCCTTCTCTAACAAAGAGCTTCGATTCTTTTGTTCTATTTCAACTGGGTTTCCGCCTGATAAGCTACAAATCTTCCTGACATTTGTCTAGTTTTGATAAATCTAAATAGTTTCGTTTGTGGTGTCACTTTAAAGATATCACAGTAAAATTGTGTCATCAAAACTTAGCTAGTATTCACATGTTCGATGAATCACTTTGTTGTGATGTTTTAAAAAATGTAATTGTATGATTTCAATTGGTTTTGCTTTCTTTGAAATTACTAGGCCATATCAGCCCAGAACGTACCTTTTCATTTCAGAACTGTTTTTACGACTAACTGATATTTTTAATAACTTTAAGCATAGAAATATAAACTAATATGAAAAAAATACTTCTTTAGTATCTTTCAGTTGTTTGTATATCATGAATGTGATTGTACACAATGTATGTGATTGTACACAATGTATGTGATTGTACACAATGTTTTTGATTGTACACAATGTATGTGTTTGTACACAATGTATGTGATTGTACACAATGTACTTACAGGACAATTTAACTTTGCCATCGGTGGTGATGGAACAATCTACGAATTAAATGGTTTTAATAGTGTTGCAAAACATGCCAATTCCTTTGACAACATATCATTAGGTATGTATATCGTTTGACATTATATCATTAGGTATGTATATCGTTTGACAACATATCATTGGGTATGTATATCGTTTGACAACATATCATTAGGTATGTATATCGTTTGACAACATATTAATAGGTATGTTTATCGTTTGACAACATATTAATAGGTATGTATATCGTTTAACAACATATCATTAGGTATGTATATCGTTTAACAACATATCATTAGGTATGTATATCGTTTGACAACATATTGATAGGTATGTATATCGTTTAACAACATATTAATAGGTATGTATATCGTTTGACAACATATTAATAGGTATGTATATCGTTTAACAACATATCATTAGGTATGTATATCGTTTAACAACATATCATTAGGTATGTATATCGTTTGACAACATATTAATAGGTATGTATATCGTTTAACAACATATCAGTAGGTATGTATATCGTTTAACAACATATCATTAGGTATGTATATCGTTAAACAACATATTAATAGGTATGTATATCGTTTGACAACATATTAATAGGTATGTATATCGTTTGACAACATATTAATAGGTATTTATATCGTTTAACAACATATTAATAGGTATGTATATCGTTTGACAACATATCATTAGGTATGTATATCGTTTGACAACATATTAATAGGTATGTATATCGTTTAACAACATATCATTAGGTATGTATATCGTTTGACAACATATGAATAGGTATGTATATCGTTTAACAACATATCATTAGGTATGTATATCGTTTAACAACATATCATTAGGTATGTATATCGTTTGACAACATATTAATAGGTATGTATATCGTTTGACAACATATCATTAGGTATGTATATCGTTTGACAACATATTAATAGGTATGTATATCGTTTAACAACATATCATTAGGTATGTATATCGTTTGACAACATATTAATAGGTATGTATATCGTTTAACAACATATCATTAGGTATGTATATCGTTTGACAACATATTAATAGGTATGTATATCGTTTAACAACATATCATTAGGTATGTCTATCGTTTGACAACATATTAATAGGTATGTATATCGTTTAACAACATATCGTTAGGTATGTATATCGTTTAACAACATATCATTAGTTATGTATATCGTTTAACAACATATCATTAGGTATGTATATCGTTTGACAACATATTAGTAGGTATGTATATCGTTTAACAACATATCATTAGGTATGTATATCGTTTAACAACATATCATTAGGTATGTATATCGTTTGACAACATATCATTAGGTATGTATATCGTTTAATAACATATCATTAGGTATGTATATCGTTTGACAACATATTAATAGGTATGTATATCGTTTGACAACATATCATTAGGTATGTATATCGTTTAACAACATATTAATAGGTATGTATATCGTTTAACAACATATCATTAGGTATGTACATCGTTTAACAACATATCATTAGGTATGTATATCGTTTGACAACATATTAATAGGTATGTATATCGTTTGACAACATATTAATAGGTATGTATATCGTTTAACAACATATCATTAGGTATGTATATCGTTTAACAACATATCATTAGGTATGTATATCGTTTGACAACATATTGATAGGTATGTATATCGTTTAACAACATATTAATAGGTATGTATATCGTTTGACAACATATTAATAGGTATGTATATCGTTTGACAACATATTAATAGGTATGTATATCGTTTAACAACATATCATTAGGTATGTATATCGTTTGACAACATATTAGTAGGTATGTATATCGTTTAATAACATATCATTAGGTATGTATATCGTTTAACAACATATCATTAGGTATGTATATCGTTTGACAACATATCATTAGGTATGTATATCGTTTAATAACATATCATTAGGTATGTATATCGTTTGACAACATATTAATAGGTATGTATATCGTTTGACAACATATCATTAGGTATGTATATCGTTTAACAACATATTAATAGGTATGTATATCGTTTAACAACATATCATTAGGTATGTATATCGTTTAACAACATATCATTAGGTATGTATATCGTTTGACAACATATTAATAGGTATGTATATCGTTTGACAACATATTAATAGGTATGTATATCGTTTAACAACATATCATTAGGTATGTATATCGTTTAACAACATATCATTAGGTATGTATATCGTTTGACAACATATTGATAGGTATGTATATCGTTTAACAACATATTAATAGGTATGTATATCGTTTGACAACATATTAATAGGTATGTATATCGTTTGACAACATATTAATAGGTATGTATATCGTTTAACAACATATCATTAGGTATGTATATCGTTTAACAACATATCATTAGGTATGTATATCGTTTGACAACATATTAATAGGTATGTATATCGTTTAACAACATATCATTAGGTATGTATATCGTTTAACAACATATCATTAGGTATGTATATCGTTTAACAACATATTAATAGGTATGTATATCGTTTGACAACATATTAATAGGTATGTATATCGTTTGACAACATATTAATAGGTATTTATATCGTTTAACAACATATCATTAGGTATGTATATCGTTTAACAACATATCATTAGGTATGTATATCGTTTGACAACATATTAATAGGTATGTATATCGTTTAACAACATATCATTAGGTATGTATATCGTTTAACAACATATCATTGGGTATGTATATCGTTTGACAACATATTAAAAGGTATGTATATCGTTTGACAACATATCATTAGGTATGTATATCGTTTGACAACATATTAATAGGTATGTATATCGTTTGACAACATATCATTAGGTATGTATATCGTTTGACAACATATTAATTGGTATGTATATCGTTTAACAACATATCATTAGGTATGTATATCGTTTGACATTATATCATTAGGTATGTATATCGTTTGACAACATATCATTGGGTATGTATATCGTTTGACAACATATCATTAGGTATGTATATCGTTTGACAATATATCATTAGGTATGTATATCGTTTGACAACATATCATTAGGTATGTATATCGTTTAACAACATATCATTAGGTATGTATATCGTTTAACAACATATCATTAGGTATGTATATCGTTTGACAACATATCATTAGGTATGTATATCGTTTAACAACATATCATTAGGTATGTATATCGTTTGACAACATATTAATAAGTATGTATATCATTTGACAACATATCATTAGGTATGTATATCGTTTAACAACATATCATTAGGTATGTATATCGTTTGACAACATATTAATAGGTATGTATATCGTTTGACAACATATCATTAGGTATGTATATCGTTTAACAACATATCATTAGGTATGTATATCGTTTGACAACATATTAATAGGTATGTATATCGTTTGACAACATATCATTAGGTATGTATATCGTTTGACAACATATTAATAGGTATGTATATCGTTTGACAACATATTAATAGGTATGTATATCGTTTGACAACATATTAATAGGTATGTATATCGTTTGACAACATATCATTAGGTATGTATATCATTTGACAACATATTAATAGGTATGTATATCGTTTGACAACATATCATTAGGTATGTATATCGTTTAACAACATATCATTAGGTATGTATATCGTTTAACAACATATCATTAGGTATGTATATCGTTTGACAACATATTAATAGGTATGTATATCGTTTGACAACATATCATTAGGTATGTACATCGTTTGACAACATATTAATAGGTATGTATATCGTTTGACAACATATCATTAGGTATGTATATCGTTTGACAGCATATTAATAGGTATGTATATCGTTTGACAACATATCATTAGGTATGTATATCGTTTGACAACATATCATTAGGTATGTATATCGTTTAACAACACATCATTAGGTATGTATATCGTTTGACAACATATTAATAGGTATGTATATCGTTTGACAACATATCATTAGGTATGTATATCGTTTGACAACATATTAATAGGTATGTATATCGTTTGACAACATATCATTAGGTATGTATATCGTTTGACAACATATTAATAGGTATGTATATCGTTTGACAACATATCATTAGGTATGTATATCATTTGACAACATATTAATAGGTATGTATATCGTTTGACAACATATCATTAGGTATGTATATCGTTTAACAACATATCATTAGGTATGTATATCGTTTGACAACATATTAATAGGTATGTATATCGTTTGACAACATATCATTAGGTATGTATATCGTTTGACAACATATTAATAGGTATGTATATCGTTTGACAACATATCATTAGGTATGTATATCATTTGACAACATATTAATAGGTATGTATATCGTTTGACAACATATCATTAGGTATGTATATCGTTTAACAACATATCATTAGGTATGTATATCGTTTGACAACATATTAATAGGTATGTATATCGTTTGACAACATATCATTAGGTATGTATATCGTTTGACAACATATTAATAGGTATGTATATCGTTTGACAACATATCATTAGGTATGTATATCGTTTGACAACATATTAATAGGTATGTATATCGTTTGACAACATATCATTAGGTATGTATATCGTTTGACAACATATCATTAGGTATGTATATCGTTTAATAACATATCATTAGGTATGTATATCGTTTGACAACATATTAATAGGTATGTATATCGTTTGACAACATATCATTAGGTATGTATATCGTTTAACAACATATTAATAGGTATGTATATCGTTTAACAACATATCATTAGGTATGTATATCGTTTAACAACATATCATTAGGTATGTATATCGTTTGACAACATATTAATAGGTATGTATATCGTTTAACAACATATCAGTAGGTATGTATATCGTTTAACAACATATCATTAGGTATGTATATCGTTTAACAACATATTAATAGGTATGTATATCGTTTGACAACATATTAATAGGTATGTATATCGTTTGACAACATATTAATAGGTATTTATA